TCAGCTGAAATGTAGAAATCACAGTTTCAAAAACCGGGTTAACTTTTATTTTTCCTAAAATAAATGAGACTGAATGCAACCATCTAGTTGGAGTTTTTTGTAAATAGTTTTTTTGTTTTTTTTGTTTGTTTCACTGAGAGCTGATTATCAAGGACTTGGACGAAGGATAGACATTTTAATTTGATTGCGATTGTCTTAAAGAGATATATTTATTATTGACTTATTGAAATGAAAATCGAAGCACCAAAGTCCCACAAAGGTGTAAAGTGATTTTTTTTGTGAATGAGAATCTGGTCTCAAACACCTAGTTGCTCAGTTCACACTTTGTGAGGGATTAGAAATATCCCAAAGAGCTCCAGAAATAACTGCACTGCACATGCGGCAAGCCTCAAAAAGACGACACTTTGGTATGTGGAGTGGGAGCAACTTCCAGAAAGTTCTCCTGCTGGAAATCATCCAAACGGGACAGGCAGCACAGGAAAAGCACCATTCACACACAATAAAATTTATTTGGAAAAGCCGTGACACCAGGTCTGTGCTCCTGAGTTAATTTAAACCTTAGCCATGCTAATGTTAAATGTTAGCCATGCCGTACTGATATCTATATATATGATATTCTACCTTCTTTCTGTTTCTGGATTATTAGTCTCAGCAGCCACTAAATCCTTTAATAAAGAAAAATAAACCCTAAATAAGTCGCATGGACATACAGGTATGTTAACATGAGAAGTTCAGATGATAATATTGTGACGGCAAAAGGAAAAAACGGCCATACTACAGTGCCCATGATGCATTGCATTACCGTTTCCGGCGGCCATTTTAAAACATAGAGCGACTCTGTCTTGTAAAATTATTTTATTATGGTAAATTAATTGAGAGTCTAGAGTAAAGGTTGCATCCCCCCAGCCTAAACATACGACTTATGGTCCAAAAAAAAACAAAATTATATATATATGTATGGGGATCACACTGAAAACCCACTATATATTTATAGTGGGTATTATAATAATTATATATATATATAGTGGGTTTTCAGTGATCCAGCTTAGACATTTTGATTTGAGATTGCTTTATTAATACTATGATGTAATAGGAAAATACTGTGAAAGTTTAGCAAGAAAGTTTAATATGTAAGTGCTTTCACTTACATCTGAAATTATTAGCTATGTGCTCAACTTACCCCTTACTCTCCCTTTATCTAAAAAAGAAGAAAGTGTGTTAGTCATTAATGGAAAACGTTCAACAGAGAGGGCGAAGGTAACACTCAGACCTCCGGTCAAGTGGATCAGTAACAAAATAAAAACACCACTTATGAGCGGGTCTGTCACAGCCTGAGTTGTTGGTTAATACTCGTCCTCCTTTGTATTCCCATGAGATACTGAGGGTGGTCTGAGTTAAGAGTGTTTTTATGGTTTATATGTTTCAAACACACTTTGCCTGGCCTCCATGTCTGGTCTCAGAATCTCATCATGGAGGAAAAGCATATCGGACAGTTTTCTGGCTGACGTGCAAAATCAATGCTTGAGATAAACTGCGCTCTTGCCAAAGTTAAATAAACTCCCCAAGCTGGACAGATAAGGTTTTTTTTTTAGTTTTATGCTTGAGTATCACGTAAGAGTCTGCCTTAGGGTCTGAAGGAGCAATTTAGCTTTACAGAAATTGGTTCCAGTGAGCTGATTACCAAAGATTAATAGTGATTCCTCCTTACCTTAATTACTCAAATATAAGATAGTTGCTGTTGGTCCTCTTTTTACTACCTCACTTTGTTATTTTAAAGAAGTTAGCATGTTAACAGAGTATGTTAGTATGTTAACTGTGCTAAAATCATTGAAAAAAGAGTGATTGAACGCTATATTAGTGTTTTACAGGGTCATGATACATGTAAAACTACATCATGCTAGCATTGCTTTAGGAATGTGAGTTTCACTGTGCTAGCTTTGTTATTTTAAACAAGTTAGCATGCCAACACAGTATGTAAGTATGCTAGTTGTGCAAAAACAACATGGAGAAAAAAGAGTTATTGAACGCTATATTAGTGTTTTACAGGGTCATGATACACATAAAACTATATCATGCTAGCATCACTTTAGCGATGTGGGTGTTACCATGCTAGCTTATAGCATAGGCTTCATTATCGTTTCAACAACTCAGTAAACTGCATTAGAATCCAGCTGTCTTTCAGCTACTTATTTAGAAGTTGTTAATATAAGAAGGTTGTTGTTTTTTGAAGGAGAAAAATTAACTCCAAAGATTCCATCTTAAAATACTAGTGATATCCAACATGGTTTTTTGCTTGTTAATCAGATGGCAACATTGCTTTTTGACCTTATTTATAATTTCTGGCATCATTCTGTATAGATTCGATAGACAAGAACTTGACAGGGTGGAAAAAAGATTGGTTTTACTCTAACTTTCCTTTTTTAAATCTACCGTAGTGACATGTTTTCCCTCTTTAACTCGACATTGATGTCCAGCTTTTGCACAGTCATAACACACTGCCCATTCTGCCTGTGTACACAAACAGGCCCGCGGTGAAAGGTCCGTCTGGGTTCGTCCGTGCTGACTTGTATTTCACAGTTAAGTGGGAAGGCAGTGTAGCGTCCCCGCTAATTAAACGGACAGCGGGACGGCAGCCTCCTCCTCCGAACATCCCGCCTGGGTGTTTACGTTATCTCCCCAAAAGACTTGGCTGCTCGCACAGAAAAGCCGCGACTGGCCATATTTGGCTGTAAACAGAGCTGGGTCTGTCCTCGTGGTCCCTTTAGCAACCTTAAGGCTTTCCATGTCGAAATAAACACCTGAAACTTTGATTGTTGTCAAAGTTTATGATTGGCTAACTTCTTTCCATTTTTCTGAGTTAAACACCTATAGAATCTAGGGTTGTCACGGTACTAAAATGTTCAACTCGATACCGATACTCAGGAAAATACTTGATACTCGATACCACAAAGATAAAAACAAAGACCCCAAAATGTAACTGTATTTTGACAGGTTAGTGTCTTTGGTTTCAAACTGACCTGTTACTGATGTTATGGTGGCCCACATTAATGACCCTAACCCTAACCCTAACCCTCCATAATTGTGAGAAATAAATATTTTTTGGTTAAAGTTTTTTGGACTTATAGTACGAACCTATTTAACATCCACTATTTTAACATAATATTATGTATAGAGTTGAATTCAGTGTTTGCCAGATTAATTTCACTATTTTTAAATTAATCTCTATATTGCCATGAAGCAATCACGATTTTCTTGCCTGGGATCTTCCTATTGGTGACCTAATCAAAATGGCCGACCTGGTATGTGGGGGAGTTGGATATCCATCCTTGGCTTCCTGCAGTCTGCAGCCAGACGGACTTGATGAATGTTGGCGTGTTATAATTATTAGCCATTAGCCTTAGCTAGCAATTCAACGCTAACGTCATGTTAATGATCATAAACAACGTAAACAAATAAATCACAGAGAAGGGGAGGTATCGATACTTTTGAAAATGAGTATTGTATCCGGATACAATGTTTTAGTATCAATACTTTTTTGAGTATCGATACTTTTGACAACCCTAATAGAATCTCATTAACTCATTGGCTGCCAAAGACGTCTATAGACATCTTTTATGTTTTTCAACGCGAGTGGCTGGGGGACGATCTGCTAAAGCTTGTCCGTAAATATCAGGCTGACCCTCTAGGGGGCAGTGCCACTTTTGATGGGAGATGAGCATAGATTGTAGGCCAATAAGAAAAAGGTAACGGTTCACTATGAGAGAACATGTCGCCGGTGAGACGCAAGTCCAGGAAGAACGGAATAAGGTAGAAACAAATTATTTTTCCTGATGAAAGAAGAGAGTCTACTCTTTCTTTTGGTGTGTTCGGTGTTTACATAGTCATAGCACAAACTATTCTGTGGCTCTTGAAAAATCAGTCAAAATGCTTAAAAAACTCTGGCAGTATGGGACTCTCCGTTTTGAAAATGGCTGGCAGTCAATGAGTTAACTGGAAATAAGTTTTCGGTTATTTCCAATTACTGAACCCAAACCCTTTAGGTTCTTTCTCACTTCTCTTTTTCTCCTCTAACGCCATTCAAATGCTCATATCCTGTATTATCTCCCTCCTTCAGGATTCCCACGGATGTGGACCCCCTGACGGTCTTCGCCTCCCTGTCCCCCGAGGGCGTCCTCATCATCGAGGCGCGGCAAACTCCTCCTTATTACCTGGTCAGCGGCGAGGCCCCGGGAGGAGAAACGCAGTCAGCAGAGGCCCCAAAACCCCAAGAGGCGCCTTCGGTCTAAACTAGGGGTGGGACGGTTCACAAAATCCACGGTTCGGTTCGATTCACGGTTTCGTGGTCACGGTTTTCGGTTCGGTTCGGTATGTGTTGATGTTAGGAAAATCTATTATGTCTCGTATAGTCAGGTTGAAACTGAAAGTAAAAAGCAGTCTGACATTTGATACATTATTGTGACAGTCTGAGGTTAAAAGTAGGTGAGATTCTGGCATTGCAAAAGAGGAAACAGTGCTAATTCCAACATGTGCTTCCCTCTAAATGCAAAGTGGTCCATACAGCAGACCTAGAAACTGCTGTTTATGGGCTACGCTGCTTTGCTTCTTCTTCTTGTTTCCTACTGGTGGTTGGCTTTGGGCGCAGTAGCGCCCCCTTCTGGTCTGGAGTGTAAACGCTTCCCTCTGAGAAAAAGCAGCAGCATGAACCGAACGCAACACACAAGAACCGAACCGAGACAGTCCTACCCAACGGTTCGGACGGTTTTCAGAAACCGTCCCATCCCTAATCTAAACCAACCAACACATCATCCTGCTGCCTCCCAAAAGTTACAAGTCTGAAATGAAATGTGTAGCCTTCAGCTTCATCTTGTTCGACACTCGGGATTAAAATGATTCAAATATCTGTGTAGGAGCAAAACCGAATTTGAAGCTCATGATAAAGTCGCCACAAGGCAGTTTTTCTTTTTTTTTTTAAACAGAAAAGCTATATTAAGTGCACTACATTATTAAATTGTGCTTCACTCGTCTTTAAGAACCACTGTCGAAGGGTTTTTTCTCCATAAAAATTGTTCTGACGTGTGAGCAGCATTTCTAAAATTACACTGTGCAATTGCAAAATATGAGGCAAAAAAAAAGTAAACATTTTTTTTAATCGACTTTTAATTCAAAATTTGATATATCAATGCAATTTTGATGTTTTTTGGTTTTTTTTAAAGCCCCCAAAAATAAAAAATAAATAATTGGAGGGGGGAAAGATCTGCATTTGCACTGAAGATATTTAAAAATACACATTTAAAAAAAATGAAAACACATATTTTGCATTTTCTGTGTACTGTCGTTACGAGACAGAGACGTTGTAAGAGACGTCATTATAATACATTAGTTAGAAATACAATCATGGTTTTCTAAGGGTTCATCATTTATTTTTTATCTACATATTGATACACAAAGGTCATATTAAAGTTAAAAGCTTTTTCCAAAGCCTTGTAGATGGCGTGAAGAGGACCTACAGGACATTGGTCAGCCGGTCGTAATGTAATGGCTGACTTGTGTACAACTACAATAACAGTAAATCAGATTACATAATTAATCAATAACATAATTACGTTCAACTACACTGTGTTATAGAGCTGTTATAGACTGTTTAGACCATGACTTTCCTGTCAGATGATATGAATGACCTAATTTATTGATTACCTTGTTTCAAATGCAAAATAAGGGCGATGTTGGAATCAGGTTTGAAGCGAACACTTTGTGTCTTGTTAAAAGTCATTAAGCAGCGTTTTAGTCTATTTTCATGAAGGTGGAATCAATCCAGTGGAGTAGTCTTTAACAAATGTGCATTTATTTATTTGTGCGCTTTAAATTCCACTTAGGCGTTAATCTTCTAAGATAATGAATGTCAAACTGGCAGCGTTGTGTGTATTAGTACGTCCTGATTGGTGCATTAATACTCTAACCTACCAAACAGAACTGTAAATATGCTTTAATGTG